TCTGATGGTCCAGAAGGAGGTGGAAGGATTATATTAAAATATATAAAAGGGAAATAGGTTTGTGAGGAGGATGGAAATGAGAGTTGGGATCACATTCAACAGTGGGCTTTGATATAAGTAATGCTGAATCTTCAAGTTCTATTAAAAGAAGTTAAGCAGTGAATTTTCTAAACAGTGGCCATAATGACATCTTGCAACAAAAATTATATGTCATGAAAATGTACAAACCCCTTATAAAAGGCTGCAGGACCCTCCTGGGCAAACATGCGCAGTGAGCACTCCACTGCACTGCGGTACTCCCCGGGCGCCGAGTTCATGTAGCGTGTCTTCACCACGTCAACAGGGGATGCTGCAACAGTTGTGCAGAATCCTGCAGCAGAAACAAAAATATAATGAAGTTAATTTTCTTACAGAGATCATTTTACACACACAACCTAGAAAAATGTCAAACATTGGACCATACAGACACTGTTCTGAAGATGGATTCATTAATGCATTACAAATTCGACAGCAGGGACTGAGATACACAGAACCAAATTTTTATGCAAGAGAGCAAATTTCCTCACAGACACTTGAACTACAAATTTTACAAATTTAAGTCAGAAGTGTTACTATCTGAGCTGACCAGCCATTCAATTGTCAAATGCTTTACCATGAAACTTATATTTGCGACTGCAATTCAGAAATGGGCTCCTGTTTCTCCATGATAAACCATGCATTAAGAATAGACTGCAATGTAACATGGGGTTTTACTTTCAGAGGCACCAGCCATATGAAGTGAAAATTCCCTTTGCTCACTTGGATGGTTATTTCTTTCATAACATGTTAGTCAAAGTGAGTAAACATTTCTAACTCAGATGAATGTTTAATACTTGCTTTAAAACTAGGTTATTCATTTTCAGATTAACAAAGTTCTACTCACTAATAGAACAGAAGATAATTTATTTACAGTCCATAGATCCTTCATATGCCCAAGTCAAGGATGTAGAACATGTCATTACACAAATACAATATTTGTTTTTGATACAAATATAAATTACACAGTTATGACATTAATTTACAATCAACTAAAATAATTACACAATAAAGAATAACCACTACTGAGAATTTTTAGTTCAAGTGAATTATTCTATGGAGTAGAAGGGGTTGGTTGCTTAAATTTCTTTATTTTGTGATTCAGACTTTGCAACAGGCTGCTTCACTGCTCCACACTAAAACACTGTCCATAGCTCAAACTACGCAGCATCAAATGATATGATGGATAGTGAACAATGCATTCAATAATAAGTGGTCATAGCCTAATTTAAGGTAGTGCCAGGAAAATGAAGTATCTCAGTTGGGAAAGCTGGTCTCCACACCAAGGTTTGAAGTAAATACCTCCTAGACATAAAGCAAGAGCCACTTAGCAGTGACGCTCGATCTCCGTGCCCCCTGATTCAACCGTGTTCTAGACCTATATAAGCATGGCGAATCGCAGTTGTACCTGCGATGACAGCTGAGGTGAAATGACAGGGCACCGAATCCTTCATGAGATTGTGCTGCAAGATCAGGTCCTTCACTACATCATAGCACACGATCTCGGATACATTGACGATTGCATTGCGGCTCACATTGGGGAATGTTCCTGTGCCAGAACACAAACATTATTACTTCATCGCTATTTGTCATGACATGCAATGTGACATCAGAAAAGAAACCCCGCTTACCTGAAGCAAGTGGTGCTGTCACGCCAACTAATGGTGCAGGATAGACAACAGCATCGTGTCTTCTGTAGGAGAGAGCACACATGCTGCTTTATCACTAGTGCCAAGCACTGAACACCAGCCTTAAGCACCAAGACACATGATAAATTGACACAGGAAGTCCCTGAGTCATGAACACCCGATTTACAAATAAAGTTGCACATAAAAATATTTCAAAAACACCATCACAAAAAAGAAAGCAGTCCTGCAGGTTTGCATGGGGAAGGGGTAGATGTATAGCTCCTATTCTTGAATTTGGCACTAAATAGGGGTGAGAGGTCAGCGTCAAGCCCCGGCGATGATTTACCCCCAGGAAAGGACCCCGGTACAAAATTAGATAAGAGGTTGGGTGGGCCCAAGAGCCGGTCTGGACGCAGAGGATAGAGGAAAAATCCGCTGTCCCCGTCGGGGATCGAACCCTAGTCGTCCAGCCAATAGCTAACCACTATACTGACTGAGATATCTTGGCTCATCAATACAATCACAAAAACACTAATTCATAATTAAAAATGAGCTGCTGCTCTCGGGAAATTCTTGTGGAAACAGAGCATACTGTGCCAGTGCGAACAACCTCTGCAGCTCTTGGAACATACCGAGAATTCTCATTCAGTATCTCGACAGTTCTTCCACCTTTCCATCTTCCCCTAAGTAAATGTTTCTCGCCATGAAACACCACTTCTAGCGATGATGGCAGCACCAACACTCAACTAAATATATGTTGCACAGTTTGACTGTTTTCTTTCTTTACTGGTAGTACAGCTGTACTGTTGTTTTTAGTATTATTCATTTCAAATTACTTATCGGTCGAATAGGCTACTATGGGGTTAGGCCAGTCAATACACTGCCTGGCTGCAGGCTGACAGGTAACCTCCACGTAATGTCAACACTGAGAAATCACCTCACACATAATCATGATGCAGTGATTAAGCACAGGGAGAACTTTACCTCTTACTGGGGACAGACTTGAGATCCTATCATTATAACTATGGGAAACAGTTTTGAACAAAAGACTTATAAACAAGATTTTCAAACACAATCTGTAACTAAGGGACTTCCTGTTCACTGATGCTTCAAGCGTAATTCTTGATAGCGTAGTCAGACACGCTAGATTCAATTTCTGACAAAGATGTTGTGAGTTCTGCTTGCAGCACAGCAGAACAGGTGTCGGAAAAACCCATGGTTCTACTTGACAGCTCTCACGTGGGTAAGGTGGCTGGAACATGAAACCTACCTCTCACCTCCTTCTAGCGGTGGACCCGTACCTCCGCATCTCCCACTGTACTTACACACGAGGACAACTTTACCTTCTGTGCCTCTAGTTTCATAGTAGTGAGTACTGAACCATAGCGGAGGCTTTAGTTTCCATGACTTTTAATGGCAAGAAAGCATGCAGAAAAAGTCTACTGGATCTGGCTGGCATATGAGCAAAGGACTTCACATAACCACCAGGACCCTCTCGGAGGACATAATAACTCTACCATTCTAGTAGCTACAATTTAGGGTTCTAATTATAAGGGTGCATGACTAAACATAATGTTCTAACTTTTCAGTGAGAAAATGAGAAAGCACTCAGAAAAATCTACATTGAATCTAACCATAATCACCACAGAGTGGTAAATAATACAAAAGATGTACAGTTTCCTATTCCTTTGTTCTTAGAACCCAAATTTGATGATAAGTAAGAATGTGTATTTTTGGACAGAAATATACAATCATACGTGTCACGATAAACAAACAATTTTGTTACTTGAGTAAACTTTATTTTAAGAAAAGTCTACATGCAAAATGGGCTCTTACAAACAGCTGATCTGTTAGAAGGCGGTTTTACTTGCATGTTAATATATTGGCACTGAAGAGTAATCTATGTCTTAATGGATTCAATGAACACACAGTGGGAAAGCCATGTCTGTTCTCATGGTTCATCTCCAGACATATTCTATGCATTTCAATAACATCTGGGAATGGAATCTACACTAAAAATTATTTAACTTAATTTGGTTCATACCAGTCAAAGTAATCTTTCACTGTGTATCAGTATGGAAAAAAGAGAAAAAATCTTATTCGCTACGCAACTATTCAAAGAAGCCAGTAACTCTGCCAATAATACAATTTACGGCTCTATGCAGTGTAACATCTGCAACGCTGATTATTTCAGTAATAAATTAATGAGAGAAACAAAACTGCAATATCATAAATTTGGACAACGCCTTTGAACTCCTGCCACCTATGTCTTGTATGGAAGCTGAAGTGTGCCTCACCTTTCCAAAGCCCACGAGCACCCTCCAGCTTGGCGATCATTCGGTACGCCTGCAGTGTGGACTTGTAGCGAGGGGCTGTTTGTGTTCCCAGCGCTCGCTGCTGCGCCTGAAACCTCACCTTCACAACATCAGTGGGCTGGGCCAACAGAACGGCCAGTGCGCCTGTCGTGAGGCCGGCGGCAACCCGCGTCCCGATGTTCAGTCCACCGCTGCGGTTACCTGAAATCCATGCCAAAAACACTGCTAACACAGTGAAGTTGCCTTCTCAATTTGTTAATATTACTAAAGGTTATAAATGGGATTCACCCAGGTATCTGCATGTGATGTCTTGGGTTGGCACCACTGCAGTTTAAAGTTCAATTTGCACCATAGAGAGACTCAGAGTGAAATACTGTGTGTTAGTAGTCCCAAGACCCTACATTACATAACATGATTATTGTTTCACAGTAATTCCACCTTAACGGCTACATTATTTCCCTGCATGCTGCCCTATTGTAAGTTACACCAACATGCAAAATTTCCCATTCTTATAATTCACTCTTGAGCCATAGTGAGGTGTGCGTCCTGCCATGCGCACAGACTGTTCGACTTCCAGTTCAAACTCAGCGCAGTTCGCGTTTCTTTCCGAGTCCATTTAATGACACTTTGGGAACCACAGCACCAAATGTAATATTAATATAAAATATAAGGATGTGGTGAAAAATGGTCGTACCTATTTCAAAGTAATATCTCAGCATTTGCATCAAGGGTCTGACAAGAACAACAATAATTACATTCTCTGCATCAAGATTAAAACCCACTACGTTTGAGACATCACTTCTGGTTTAAGAGATGCTGTATCAACTGAACATGTGATCAAGCGTTGAATGGCAGGAGCACTGTGAGTGATGAATTAGGAATGGATATGTCATGTTATAAGGTAGAGTCCCAGCTCTAATTTTTAGACTTGCAGTGACACGATAAAATGCAATGTGGCCATTGGTGGCATCATGCACAGAGCACTGCTTAGCGTAACTGGCTGTGGCCGCGGCGTACCGTCTAGCAGTTGCTGGTACAGAGTCTTGACAGAATCGTACAGTCCCAGGCGGACCGAGGCAAAGCACATCTGGCGCTGCAGTCCGGCAGACAGCCCGTTGTACAGACTCCTGCAATGAGAGCTCATCCAATACCAGCACAGCAACTTGGCCCCCACTCTCTCATGTTAAGTGACACGCGACTAGTTGTGAGCAACGCGCGACACAGAAATGTGCACATAGGCGACGTTTTCTGTACTGTACAAAAACACGGGAGAGGGAGCATTTCAAGTAACACTAACTCACATCAACAAGCAAGTGGTAAAGATGGGAAAGGAACATGACAACAGAGCCACCCTTCCACCTATTTACTTTTCAACATCGTACTATGAATAACATCAACATGGCGATCACGCAAAATTTTCAGTGGCACTCGACTTAACATACGATATTTAGTGTGTTAATAGAGCTTTTGAAAATATGCACTATTTGATAAGTTAATTTTCTTCTGTAGAATATGAAATTTCGCAAATGAAACATCACATTTAGGTACCGACATTTAATGAAGTTATTTGGGCTGCAGTCTGTTGAGTTGCAAAAGTCATGTGGTCATTACCAATGTTTCAAGGGAACTGCCACCTCCACCCTGAATACAGATGCAGCAGATTTCTCTGAAAAGTTGGTAACCACCCACACGAGTAAAGATGTCACAATCCAGAGAACTACAAACAAAACTTTCACTGTCATGAGAACCTCAAACCTTTTATTATACAGAGTCAGAATCTGCCTGACACTGGACTGAACTTCAACGTCTCGATCATCGGATCAAGTCCGACACTTAACCAATATGATTTTGGACTGGAAGCTTACGGCCCCAAGCCAAGAACAAGCAGCATCTGCCAATATTGGTCTTCTGGGTAGTGATGCTGTGGAAAGATCTTCACCAACAAGAGAACCTCAAATCTCATAAGGGCTGTTTCCTTTCTGCCCTCTCTCTCGCATGTGTGAGCTACACCCGTCTTCCCCCCTTCTTGTGGCCAAGCTCTGGTCCACCCTTGCATTTGCCCAATCCCCTGGCCAAGGTTCTTCGTCTGACGTTCCCACATCTCAAACCGCTTCCTCACAAGCTGCAAGCACCCCTGAAATGTCAGTAAACTTCCACAAGACTAAAATGTGCAACGACCCAGAGGACGGCCATCTCCACACTCACTGCCAAACCCGAAATCTCACTCACAAAACTAGAAGGTTGAGGCAGCAGGGGACTTGAGAGGGCAGACATGGAACTGAGTGTCGCTCGTCAGTCTTTTCCAGTGCTAGCTTGCACATCTTGCCGAGTTTCATACCTGGCGCCCTCTTGGCGTGCTATGGTGATGATGGTGTCCACCAGGCCATGGTACTGCACTGCACGGGGGGGCCGCACCAGCAGGGCGCTGCCAGTGTTCACAGTCACCAACGCGCGCCCCTCACCCTGGATCTGCAAACAGTTTTCACAATTTTCAGTTGTGGCTCGTGCTTCACATTCCAAGGTACCAGGTTCAAGTCTTGGCCTGGAGTTCATCCATTCTAATTGAGATTTTCATTGTTTTCCTCAGTACTTCCATGAAAATGCAGGGGTCCAGTCTGTGCCCTCCAATCCTACTTCCTTAACTCCACTTGAATATTATTCTCCCATTTCCACCTAGATCTTCCATGGGAAGTAAAATACAGGTAGCCCTCGATTTACGCCGGGGATGGGTTCCTGGACGAACCGGCGTAAATTGAAACTCTTTTATAATGTAAATCAATGGGATGTCCCAGCACCCAATCATTGACGAGTAATCTAATGGCATTACATTTAAAGCTCTGAAATAACGTAAATAAAATAAAGTCTGGAGCCCCATCTCCTACTCCCAAACAGCAGCACGGACCAAAGAGATGGTTAGCAGTTCCTAAAGGCGTCTGAATTCAAGATATAAAATGTATTTAGACCTCTCTCAAGCCACGGTGGTTGAGGAACTCCATGACAGTCGTCAGTGGCGCCGAAATCTACCGTCGGGCCGTGTCTTACCTGTAGTCGAACTTTAGCGGTGTCGAGAGGAAAGGAGGCGAAGTCAGCAACGCAGGCAGCAGAGCCAGCTGTGAGCAGTTTGATTGCGATTGGGGTGTCCAGGTCGGCGGCCTTCATGATCGCGCCAGCAACACTGAAACAACACGGGACGTCCAGAAACCAGCCAAAGACATCGCAGCAAACACAACCCCCACACAAACTACACTGGAAATGCGACATCAATGCTCTGGATGGCGAGAGATTCACGTAATTAACTCAAAAATATTTCTTAAATCGACTCGAATTTATATGTTGTAGGTTGTAAATTAATTTAGGAAACAAGAGATCTAATCACAAAAGTCGTAACTGTCGGCACGGAAACGCTCACCAGAGTCAACTGACAGGACGCACTAGAAGAGACGTTCTCTGAAGTCCTCGCTGAATGACAACTTGAGGCAGAGAGTGGCCTGATGTTTGCGCCAATCCGTAGCACCGCTCAACATAAGAGGTCTGGAGTGTTGTCGACAAACCATACTCCTGTACAGACGCGGCACGACATCACAAAAGCTCACAGCAGAGAATGATAATATTAAAATGGATCGTGAAGGGATAGATTCTGAGGTTGTGGAGTACATCAACAAACTCAGGACAGGCACCAGTGGGCTTTTGCGAACATGTTAATGAACACTTTTGTTCCATAAAGACACAAGATTTGACTAGCTCCGATCTCATGCAGGACCAGAGATTCAGGTTATCTGTGTCCAATGAATCTAACTGAGTGGACACTCTCCTGGGTCGTCATGTTCTGGGTTTTGACGACGTGTAGACTGGCAGGTCATCGTTTCGGAGTAACGTATTGCCTCCATCTTCAGGGCTAAACAGTCATGGAGTTGTCGTAACAAGACATGCATAATCCTGCAGCCAATAAGAAGCTGATGGTCACTCAGCAAGCTAATAAACTCCCTGCATGGATGTTCATTACCGTGTCCACAAGAGCTCGCCATTCTCACATAGGAAACCTTCGAGGTTCCTTTCAATATTATTCTCCCATCTACGCTTACGTCTTCCAAAGAGGTTCCGACCAGAAACTGCACATATTTCCTATTTTATCTCATGCATTCTACAAACCTCGTCCTGCTATCGACATGATAAAACGGAGAGGAAAATGACACGAAACTGTGTCAAATTTTCGTAATGGAACCGGAGACAGCGCCAGGTTTTACTGTCGATGACACCGCCTGACATTCATACTGCCTGCCTCACAGTAGTGACGGAGAAGTTGCCGCTCCAGAGCGGCGTTTACGGTTCAAAAGAATTCAGCGGGTCACCACGACACAACCGAAAGTCTCACTTCATACAGCGGGAAGCCGACCTCGACGCAAGAGTTCGGGACGTGGCACGCGCAATAATAAACATTACCACTGGACTTTAAAAGGTCACATGCCAATTTCGATAAGCGGTTTCTGAGAAACGTCCGATGCGAGCTCTGAAGTGGGGGTTCCTATGGCTAACTCGCGGGCTAAAAATTGAATCTGTTGGGGTGAACTGCGGAGACGTGAATGTGCGTTCCCATTTTACGCACGAGAGTCGAGAGCGACTGCTTCTAAAGGAAGACATCAGATAAATTTCTCACGATTGCAACGGCCGAATCTGCGTGGCCTCTCCCTGCAGAAAGGACCAGTCCGGGGCCCAAACCCAGATCAATAAACTGAC